TCAGGTGCAGAGGAGGTGGCTTCTAAAAGCTTGTGGGCTTTCCCCGTCCCTTCCCCCATCTCTCCCCTAACAATGCTACAGAAGCACTGGGATGGCCCAGGGCAGAGCGGGGTGGTTTTGTGAGTTGGTGTTGAATATAAACAAACCAAACAAAACATCTCAAGGCTGTCACCTCTCAAGTTTCCTCCTTTTCCTTGCCTTCTGCTCTTCTCCCTCACCCTCTGTCAGTTAAGTTCTCCTGCTCCTGTGGTCAGTCAGGCGTGCTCCTATCCTGGGCCTCCAGATCACTGGGTCTTCCCATCCTTCAGTTTCGACTCAAGTGTCACCTTGCTCAGTGAAGCCTTCCTGACCATGCAAATCTAAAACTGTGCTGTCTCCACTCCTTCATTCTCTATTGCTCAGCATGTCTAAATAGCTGACATATTACTATCTCTCCACCCCCATAGAAGGCCAGTTGCATGAGAGCACCAATGTCTTTGTTTCAGTGCAATGCCCCTACATAGTGCCTGTCATATACTAAAAGGCCCAGTAAATGTTTATTAAAGGTAGGAAAAATGGAGAGGGAATGGGCAGGGATCATGCTTCAAGCACATCTCCCCCAGGAGACCAAAGGCACACTAGTAGGTAGGAGTAGGCGCCACTGCCCATGCTTAGGACCAAGCATTTCCTGTCAAGGAAGAGGGCTCTGCTTGCCTGCCCAACTACAAGGTAAACTCTCAGGAGAGGAGGAACTGGTTTCTGTGGGTAGAAACAGTCAAACAAAAGAAATCCTTATCAACAAAACACTCACGTCCTCCCTTACTAATAAAGAAGAGGATCCATGCTTGAGACTTTGCAGTCACCAAGGACAAAGAAACTGGAATTTTCCAAGCCAGCGTAACATATGATCAGGTCTCACCTCGAACCAGGTAAGAGGAAATTTCCAGGGCTTCCAGATTTCTTCTCTCTTAGACGAGAGAGGTTTTAGCCACTGGGCTCTGTAATGCTCTCTATCTAGGTGTTGATTTCAGAATCACTGGGCTGCTTCAGACACAGTGACTGGGAAAGCAAGTCAGTCATCAAAAGCAATAGACATGTGGGTCAAATGTCACTGACTAATCAACCTGCCATTGGTCAATTACCCATCCCCATGAAGAGGTGCCACTGATCTAGTTTCCTATCAATAAACGTCTATCTGGACATATCAGCTGCTGCTCGCTGCAACCTGCCAAGAAATCCAGCACTGTACGCAGACATTGGTGGCTAAGAAATCTCTCTCCCTTTCCTCTTAATAATGTCACAGAAGAGGCAAATGCAGTTCCTGACAACATAATGTTAGTTTCACAGAGACGTGTCTCTCCGAATGCTCAACCAGTTATATGGGGCTTCAATTGCATGGATTTTCTTACTGGAAAAACAATTGCTGGGTTTTAAGAAGTTGGAAGCCTCACACTGTGCTGAGATAGACAATTCTGCCTTTGGTTGTATTTCTGCTCATCATCCCCCCTGTGAGTCAGGAAAAGAAAAACTGTTTGGGGGAACCATTTTCATTCCACATATAAAGACAATGAAATGGGCACTGTTCTCTCTTGCCTTAAGCTCCAGTGACACTTTTTTTTTTTCTAAAGTCAGATTCAATATCTCTGATTCCTTGGGCAGAGCTAGAGGCCAAGGTGGCCTTGTACACAAAGAACCTGCTTGTCTTTCTCTGAGGTGTCACCCTGGCAACGAACTCAGGCGTTCCCCAATGGGCCTAAAAATGTAGGTTTCCTGCTGTACCTGCTGTAATTTGCCCTCTACCTAGACACACTGCCTCACTGGCACTTTCCATCTGTTAAGAGCAGCTTATTTGGAATTACCAGCAGGCTTAACGCATCAGACGAGGCTGGGAGGAGGCAGAAAGGAAACAACTGCAGGACAAATGCCCTGAAAGGAGTGAGAGAGGGGACTGCAGAAAGTTCCTGGCGAAATATTTTGGTTCCAAACATTTTTGAAAGCCAGGCACAGTTTTTCCATAATACACATTTTCATGACCTTTCTAAATTACCCTTGTATGCAGAATGCATAGGGTCATTCAAAAGTGCACTCAGCAAGCCCAGAAGATGACAGGTTAGGGCAGCACCTCCAAAGGGGCAAATTCTGAACGGGAAAAACAACAAACTAGGTAAAATGGGGATTCTGAACAAGCAGTGAGACCAGCAGGCTTAAAGATGTAAAAGCAGATGTGGTAAGAGAAGGCAGAATCCCTTTAAATGGCTGGTGGGGGCGGTGGGGGGGCGGTGAGGCTGAGAAAGTCTAGCTTAGGTGGCCTGGGGCAGTCAGCACACAGCAGGGGCAGGAGGCGAGGCTGTGCAGATAGGGCAAAGCAGGGCAAATCAGGCCACTCATAAAGGGATTAATCTGAACTTTTTCCTGAGAGCAAACAGTAGCCTTGGGTCCTCCCACAGGAGGATGCTGCCATATCAGATGTGTGGTAAAAGTCTGAAGGATGGTGGCAGTTGAGGGAGGGTGGGCCTGAAGGAGGTTTGGAACCAGATGAGGTAGACACAAGGTGCAGGTATGATACCAGAAGTGGAATAGAGAAACAGGAATGATCCATGAGATGTTTAGGAGGCTGATGAGGGGAGTGGAGGAAGGAAAGGAATTAGATAATCCTATGTTTTAGGCTTAGGTAAGGGATGGAAGGGTTGTGCTACTGATGAGATGGCTTGATAATAAGGTGACCTGATCAGGAAAAGGGAAGATAATGGAATCCCATCTTCTACAATTTCATTTTATTTTGGCAATTTGATTTATTTGCAATAGACAGCAGAGAGAAGGTGCTCCCATCTGCTGGTTCACTTACCAAATGCCCACAACAGCTGTTGCTGGACCAGATTCAAGTCAGGAGTTGGAACTCAATCTGGGTCTCCCATATGGGTGGCAGGGACTCATTGTCACCTTTCAGGACCTGCACTGGCATGGAGTTGGAATCAGGAGCCAGAGCTAGGCACTGAATCCAGGCACTCCATGTGGGATCATAACTGCCAGGTTAAATACCTGCTCCCAGATGTTTAGGCATCCTGGTTTGAGGCAGGCGTAAACACTGCTAGATGGTGGTAGTTGATAGCTAGAGGACATGGAATATCAGGTAAGTGAACAAAACACAGAGAATGTTACAAGGCCGTGAGGCAGTTACAAAGCTGCCTGCTTGCTTCAATCTTCCTCTGCAAGAAGACTGGTCTTCAAATTAGAGATGGCAGAACAAACATAATAAAGACAAAATTGAAGTCCCAAATAGGTGAGGTGAGAGAAAGAGAGTATCTAGTCAATTTAAATGATTTCAAGTCTCCTGGCTCAGATGAGTTACACCCTAAGCCTGCTGAAAGAAATTGTAGATGTAATCTCAGAGACACGATTAGTAATCTTCAAGAAACGGTAGAGACTACAAGGAGTGCCAGAAGACAAAAGAAGGACAGCTCTTGTCCAGATTTTTAAAGCAAGGAGTAATCAGTTGTAAAGAGAAATACATAGATGAGCTTCTCGTCACCTATGGCAAGAATTTTAGACTAGCTTATTGAATAGATGGCTTGTGGGTGCTCTGGCTCAAGCATGAAGCTGAGAAAAAGGAGAGAGGAGCACTGATTGCTGCTGACAGCAGTTTATATGTATGGTAGTTTGTTCAGATGGCTGTGGCCAAACTCTTCCCACTCTCCAAGCACAAAGTGAGCTTTCTGGCTTGAAATATGAACTCAAGGCTTTTCCAGACATAATTACTGCCTATAGTACTCTGCCTGTAACATGTCCTTTTATGAAAATGGGTCAATAATTGAAATGAAGAAATCCATGGTCTGAATTCCCCCAAGAAATACAGCATCAACTCTTCGGGGTACCCGGCGAACAGGCAAACTGCATTAATCTCTATACTTCTTAGCCTATACATAAAAACATTTTTGCCTATTGGAGTCCTACTACTTTATCTCTTTGTACCTCTTCCCTCTTTGTCCATATTGAATTTAAAATAAGACACAAGGGGCTGGATTGGTACTGTGGGTTAAGCTGCTGCCTACAATGCAAGTGTTCCAATAAGCCCTGATTTGAGTTCTGGCTGCTCCACTTCCAATCCAGCTCCCTGGTAATAGGCCTGCTGGGAACACAGCAGAAGAAGGCTAAGTGCTTGGGCCCTTGCTACCAATGAGGGAAAACCTGGATGGAGTTCCGGGTTCCTGACTCAGCCTGAGCTCTTGCAGTCACTTGGAGAGTGAACCACTGGGCTGAAGATCTCTTTGTGTCTTTTCCTTTTTCTAACTCTTCCTTTCAAATATATATATTTGAGAACTGGAAAAGCAACGTAGTACAGACAATGGAGACACAATAGTTCGGTTCTGCCAACACCTCTCAACCCAGGAAGGCCAAGACACATATCTCTCTTTCTTCTTCCTTCCTTTCTTTCTCTGTGCTTGTTTTGTACTTTGTATTAACTGTTCATCTTAGAACTTAAAAGAAAAGGCAGCTGCCAGCTTACGCAAGACCCAAACGGTGCTCCTGAATTGAAAGTATATGTCTGGAAAATGTCATCAGTCTTACATTTAAAAATTATTTAAATCAAGCATTAAAAATTCCCTTCTCAAAACAAAAAGGAACCTCAACAAAAACTCAGACACAAGGATAATTAAGATCTTTAAGATATTTCACAACTGACTGGCTCATATGTAAGTCATGTATTAAAGTTGAAAATTATTCTTCATCCTACATAATCTATCTTTGGCCTTATCCTATAAGTCAGTAACCAATGCAACTGAGATGTGAGAAAGTGAGTCATGCCCAGGAAGAGGCCCCTGCGTCCTCTCTTCACGAGTCTAATTTTGGTACACCTCACTATCCATGTAAGTATTTGGTTTATCATTCTCTACTTTCACTCTTAATACCTTCTGACTATTTATAAAGTTTCTTTGCTGATGTTGTTGGGATCATTTTATCCAATGTTAACTTGTACATGCATTGTCCATTTGAAAACTATATATGAAAAGGAATCTTCTTACCGTATTGACCCAATCATGTACGGCTGTGCCAGTTGAACCACAATTGCACCACTTCCCAGCTGATGACACGTGTAACCAGAATCCCAATCATAGTTCTTAGTGTCCCCATTCAGTAAGGCATTTCTGCTCCGACTGACTCCTTCAATCACACTGGCACAATCAGCAATGGTCGCAACATTCTCTGTGGGAACTGTGAATCGAAACACATGATTCGGTATTAGGCGATACATCCTGATAGTGTGCCTAAAACAAAACTGATTGATTGCTACCTCAAGCCAACAGTAAAATTCAAAGGAAATTACAACACCTTGATGATCTTAAGATACAAACGTAATTTTCATGCCAAAATGATGTTAAAAACCTGAACCTAACGCTGAAAGAAATCAATTCACATGTAGCAATTAACCCTAAGGTGCCTTATTACAAAGAAATGCTGTAGTCCATAGAATACAGAATGGCGTATTACTATCATGAGAAACTACACAGCAATGGAAATGAATGCATTACTGCCATATATAAAAGGATGATCTCAAAAATAAAAGGCTGTGTGAAAAAAGGTGTGGAGCTCAAACTAAAAAATAAACCTACATAAATACGAAACAAAAAAGTCAAGCCAAGGAATTACTAAATAAAATTGAGGGGAGTTTATCTGGAAGGAGGGAAGAAAAAAATCATGGAGAAAACTCATCAAGAAATCTAAACATTAACTGCTTTCATTTATAAGAAATACTAGCCTTGGTCAATATTTTAAACAAGGTGATGTATATGCAGGCATTCATTTTATTAGTATTTTTTAAGCTACATTTACGGTAGCTACTCTTCTGAAATTTTGTTCAGTAATGAAAAGGTTTCAGTTTTCTGAAACTTCCGAATTCATAAACCAGGAAAGTGACCCAATGCACATTCCAATTCCTTTGCAGAATATACAGTAGTCCTCAGCTATGCTTCATTTCCTTTGTTTATTTTTTTCACTATTCTGTGTAATGCAATATACTTGTCCTTCTCTTTTTTCCTGAACCCTATATCCTGAAAAAACAGGTTGTTTTGACTGAATCTCAACATACTTAAAGACCCTGCTCGTTTATAAAAGAACATATACAAAATGATGCTCAATATGATGCAGACTCTTTAACATGTAAAAGAGAAGTCATTCTACATGTTTTAGACATCATTTAAAAGGTAGGGTCCTTTTAACACCATGGGAACTTTGGTGTAGATTTCATTAATCTAAGCAAAATCTGTAATTTTTTCAGACTCATAAAGGTTTTTAATAACTTTTAAAAAAAGATTTATTTATTTATTGGAAAGTCAGATATACAGAGAGGAGGAGAGACAGAGAGGAAGATCTTCCATCTGATGATTCACTCCCCAAGTGAGCTCAATGGCCGATGCTATGCCGATCCAAAGCCAGGATCCAGGAACTTCTTACGGGTCTCCCACATGGGTGCAGGGTCCCAAAGCTTTGGGCTGTCTTCAACTGCTTTCCCAAGCCACAAGCAGGGAGCTGGATGGGAAGTGGAGCTGCTAGGATTAGAACCGGCACTCATATGGGATCCAGGAGCGTTCAAGGTGAGGACTTAAGCCGCTAGGCCACGCTGCTGGGCCCAGACTCATAAAGGTTTCTATACAAAAAGATTTATTCATTTTACATGAAAGTCAGTATTAGAGAGAGAGAGAGAGAGAGATATCTTTCACCCACTGATTCACTCCCCAAATGGCTGCTACAGCCAGAGCAAGGCCTGTCTGAAGCTGAGAGCCAGGAGCTTCTTCCAGGTCTCCCTCATGGATGCAGGGACCCAAGCACTAGGACCATCCTTCCCTGCTTGCCGAGGCCATTAGAAGGGAGCTGTATCAGAAAAGCAGCAGATGGAACATAAATTAGTACCCATATGGGATAACAGCAATGAAGGCAGAGGATTAACATGCTATGCCAAAGTGCTGGCCCCAGACATCTAAGTTCATAATAAAAATGTACAATTATCCCTAGCTACCTGCATTCAAGATTTTATAGCTTACCTTTGATAATTTTTAAAGGGATTACAAAAGAAAAGATAACTTTTCATTAGGTAGCTAGTGCCTCCCTACTTTCCAGTATAACAGCACACTCTGAAAAGAGGTAATCAATTTTATTACCATGCTGAAACATTCCTAATTTTATAATCATATGGAGTAGGTAATTTTCACACGTACCTTAGAAATAGTGCTTTCATTTTGACTTGGATATATTCACACTCAGGCCCTCATCTCAAGGACTTTCACTAACTGCTTTGCCCTCTGGCAAATGAGGAGAGTCACCGATGGATAGGAAAGGAAGAGAGGAGGAGGAGAGAAAAAAGGGACTTTTCTAGCAATGAATCCTTGACTAGGAAGCTCAACTCCAAAGCAACAATCTAAAACACTGGTGAAGTTGCCTGCAAGGTAAAGACTCTTATGGCCAGAGAAGGGTCTCAGAGGGAAGCTCCCTAGGCTTCGGGTATGAACCAGGGGAAAGAATTGAAACAGGCACTTCAAAAAATTCTTACTGAGATTAAATCAAAAGTTCACTTTAGTGCAAAATTTTTTTAAAAAATATAATGTCATTTTTGCAATATGCATTTAATGAACTTCTGAACACCCTTCAGATCTATATCATTTAGAAAATTTTTGCACCAAAATGAACTCATCCTTTAGTACATTTTCCTGAATTTTTGAATACCCTTGTATTTAGAGGGCAACTCACAGTACTTTTTCTCATGGGGGAGAAAAAAAAAGCAATATAGATGCTTAGGAAATTGACCTGGGATATAACACTGCAGGTAAGGTGTGTTATATAAACAGACGGCTGTCCCCCACTCCCCAAGCTACCAACAGTCTGATAGAACACATGTTTATTTTTCATTTACCTTAAGTGTTCAATGATTGTGTTGCTCAGGGATGTCAGGGACAAAGGCTTCATATTGACATGTGCCCCCTCCCTCACAGTAAGCTAGACACCAGCTCTGAAAGCCTCTTGCTCAAGTAACACCTCTCGCTGTGCTACATTTCGTTGGTCAAGCTGAGCCATACTGCCTTACCTAACTCCAGAGGGGGTGGGGAAATGTACCCTCCATGGTGCACTCAGAAGTGCCTGGGTGGCTTGGGGAGCAACAGGAACATCTACCACAAACCTTAAGCCAGCATGAAGAAAATCTGACAGGCAGACATATGTGATCATTCACTATAAATATTTTACTGTAAATATTCTAAAATGTACATATTGAGTGTCCTAATGAAGGACATTTAGATGGTGACCACTGCTTTCTTCGTGGCTATAAACAAAGGTGTTTGCCTATGTCCCTGGTTTCTTAAAGAAATATGCAAGATTTATACATATATGGAAATGCAACTGTACTCCTGGCTAAGAGTGACCTTCAACTTCCCTAGCTCCTGACAAATTATTCACCAAAGTGGTTGTAAAACTTTATGCTTTAAACACATTGCTCCATACCTCACCGACTCTTTGTAATGTCAGACAAATGAGTATAAAATGACATCATACAGATTAATGCTTTCAATTTTTTTAGTAGCTAAATTTTTTCTTTTATTTTCCATTGGAGTCATTTTAGATTCTCCCTTTTGTAAACTGTATATTTTTATCTTTTGCCTATTTTTCTATCATCTAATTAATTTACAGAATACCACTACTTTATAATCTGATGATTGAACTGAAATGCTTAATTCTTTTTATGAAAATTGGGTTCTTCTTTTCTTTTTAAAAAAGATTTATTTATTCTTATTGGAAAGGCAGATATACAGAGAGGAGGAGAGGCAGAGAGGAAGATCTTCCATCTGATGATTCACTCCTCAAGTGACCACAATGGCCGGAGCTGCACCGATCCAAAACCAGGAGCCAGGAGCTTCTTCCAGTTTCCCATGAGGGAGCAGGGCCCAAGGCATTGGTCCATCCTTGACTGACTGCTTTCCCAGGCCACAAACAGGGAGCTGGATGGGAAGTGGGGCTGCTGGGATTAGAACTGGCACCCATATGGGATCTTGGTGTGTTCAAGGTGAGGACTTTAGCCGCTAGGCCACGCTGCTGGGCCCTATTTCATTAAATTCTTCTCACCAGTTTTCCTTATTACTTGAAATCCATGCTTAACTCATCAATCTATTTCTTTCCTAATAAATGCCACTTGCCGCTAATATTTTTTTACTTTTGTTTCAACTTTACTTTCAATATTTAATACAGTATATAATGGGTTTTTAAAAAAAGATTTATTTATTTCAAAGGCAGAAAGAGTGACACAAAGAGATTGAGACAGAGAGAGACCTTTCATTCACTGGTTCACTCCTTGAATGCTACAACAGCTAGGGCTGGGGCACAGTGAACCCAGATCTTCTTCCAGGCCTCTCATGTAGACGGCAGGGACCCAACCTCCCAAACCGTAGCATCCATTTCCTTCCCAGGAAGCTGAGACTCAAAAGGGTACTCTGACACAGCAGCTTAACCTGCAAATGCTTGCCTCCATACAGAATTAAGTACCAGTCAGGTATTGTGCAGTTTTTCTGAAAATATTTCTATTTTATTTGGATTTTTTCATTTGCAAATTATTCTGTAGAGTATTTTTAACTTTCTGAATTAATTTTATAAGGGCTTTAGTGTTGATCTTAAGTTATATTACAATGTGGACAAAAATGTAATTTGTGTAACACCAACTTTGCAAAATTTGAGCTTTGCTTTTTGGTCCAGCATACAACTAATCCTAACTGATATTTTATCTGTGCCTGAGAAGAATGTTTATTCTCTAATTTGAGGAATGTATGATTTACTATATGTCTACTATACCAAATTTATTAACTGTGTTATTCAAATCACTATATGCTCATTAATTTTAGGAAGATGTTCATTAAAGTCTCTTGCTGTGACTGTCCTCTTGTCTTTATGATTTTATTTTTGCTTTATCATATCATTTCCTATATATTACTTTAGAACTATTATAGGGCCCAGCACAATAACCTAGTGGCTGAGGTCCTCATTTTGCATGCATTAGGATTCCATATGGGTGCCAGTTTGTCTCCCGACAGCCCCACTTCCCATCTAGCTCCCTGCCTGTGGCCTGGGAAGGCAGTTGAGGACAGTCCAGGGCCTTGGGACCCTGTACCCATGTGGGAGATCCCAAGGGGGCTCCTGGCTCCTGGTTTCGGGTTAGCTCAGCTCTAGGCATTTTAGGG